TGTGTGTGTGACCAGGGTAGGGCTTACTTCCGTGCGTGTGCGCGGTCAAAATATTGTTTTTTTTTATATCACAAAAACTACACTAATTGATAATTATTATATATCGATGTATTCCTTTGACCAATTAAAACCAGCACATCTAAATAATAATAATAATAATAATAATAATAATAATAATAATAATAAATAAATATTAACAAGTATTTTTTCTTCCCGGCTTCTGCCATAGTCATGACGTCACCAACAGCGATCAATATGAACTTCAAAAGAATAGCCTTTACTAAGTGGTATACCTGTATTAAATATTTAGTAAAATACTTTGAATACAGCAAAATTGTAAATCACAGCCTGAGCCACCAAATTTACCTAATTAGGGATAAGACGAAAGTTTCTCCCCTTATAGCTCACAAGGGAAGGAGGAAGAAGGCGGGGATAAGCAATAAATAGCAACTCCCAGGAGGTAGAGTTGCCATTAAACAGCTGAATCTCCTGCCTTCCACGTTATTGTAAAATTACCTAATATCCTCTCTCTCTCTCTCTCTCTCTCTCTCTCTCTCTCTCTCTCTCTCTATATATATATATATATATATATTAAATTACTGATTACTGTTTATGTGATTACCTCCGTCTGCATTCACTGTTTGTCTATACTATAACTGTACTACAGACGCTGTTCTGGCTCGCTACTGATGTTATTCTTAATCTCGTCTTAATGATTAATATGACGTGAAATACTATAGCAGCTGAGTAAAGGTCAGGGAAGTTATATTTATCTGTAATCTTTTAAGACTTCCTCTGTTTAATGCAATGACCAGTTTACCTGAATAACAACACACACACACACACACATTTATCCTTCATTCACTCCTCCCCAGTTGAAAATGATGTGTCCTGTTATGGTAATTCTCTCACACCAAAAACCTAAATCTACTTCACCTCCTAACCATAATTTTCCCCGTTGCTTTAGGATACTTCAACTGTGGACAAAACATATATGTTGACTTAAAACGGCAGTGTCGGATTAACCATAAGGCACTTGAGGCACTGGCCCCAGGCCCCCGACTCTAAGGGGCCCCCAAATCCAAACATTCTCGAAGTTGAAGCGTATAAAACATGAACTTCGTTCAACGATGTCCTAGCAACGTCTCAATTTTCTGTCTCTTATGAACATTAAATGTGTTATTTTGCAGAAGCTTAATATTGATGAAATCATTGATAAATTTGGGTATATTTTGTTCTTGTTATTTATATATACCTTGAGGGTAGGGGGACCCAAGTTGATCTGTGCCTCAGGCCCCTATTAAGCTTAATCCGGCCCTGTAAAACGGCATCATTAACTTACAAATATCATTCACTTAAATAATAAATTCCATGAACTAAGGGAATGTGTGTGTTTGTATCATTATAAAGTTATTGCTGCAGTTTGAGTCGTGACAAAGGATCAAAATAACTTACTGCATCATTCTACATAAGGTTAGATACCTCGAGGACTTCATATTAATTCTGACAGACATCAAGTGAGAGGAAACAATGAGTCGTGACGCTTTGCAGTTTATACCACAAAAAAAATAGTTTCTTTAGAGTTCATGATAGGCGGTAACGCACGACAAACTAAGCTGGAGACTTGACTGCATAATGTGTGTGTGTGGATATTTAGTTTGGAACACGAAACTACAAAGGAAGACTTCTCGGCAGGAGACTGTAGGGGTGGGAACCAGGGGGGGGGGGTTACTTTACCGGCAGGGGGGTGTGGGGGGAGATAATCATAATAAAACATACAGTATAAAGAAAGTGAAAGTGGGTCTCCTAGGTATGACGGCCCATTAGGAACAGTGTGGATAGATAAGCAAGGAAACACTGTGGCTGGCACTGTACTTGACCGCCTTCACTTTCTTAACTTGTAAAATCAGATAACCATTTATAAGCTGAGTGGACTGGGAGTTCCCGGGGATCGAACCACTGACCCTTAGGACAGGTGAGTGCTGTATACATTCGTCCTGTGTCTAATCTTCAGGTGATCCGGTAAGGGTCCATTATAATGGACCCTTACCGGGTCACCTGAAGATTAGACACCTAGCATATTTCACCTGGTGATTAAACACCCTATCGTTACCTGGGGGGTTGGATTAAGTTAGGTTAGGTTGGATTAGGGTAGGTTAGGTTAGTTTAGATTAGTTACGTCAGGTTAGCTTAACTTAATTTTGGTTAGGTTAGCGTTCGGGTGTTTAATCATCAGGCGATATAAGCTGGGTGTCTAAACTTAATGTGATAAAAAATTGAATTTTGAGAACCCGGAAGCAGGTTGTAGCCAGAGTGTTGACCTGTGGTGGGCTGACATCTACTGTCAGCTGGGAAGGATGAAGGTGTGTGTGTGTGTGTGTGTTTAAAGGTTAAGTCTTCAGCGTGTTTCTATTCGCACATGTGCACATATGAGATCACAAATTCAATCACATCCACGCAAAACACAAACCCGTCTACATTTTTACGTATGTACGCTCGTCTGCCTTGATGTGTACACACGAAATATACACACCATAAATACAGCCACACGAACAGTATGTGTGCGTGTCTCTTCCCGGAAATAATAGTCATACCTACCTGACCTACACACCTGACCCCGGGGCCACGGTAGGTCATTAATGGCACACATGCGGTACACAAAGAAGAAATATGACCCCTTTCCTGTAAGACATTATGTAACTCACAAAAGGTCGCTATGTACAGCATTATGTAACTCAAACATAGACACAACATAGCTAACATAGGGTGGCTATGTAGACCAATATATAAATCACAAAGAGACATTATATATCTCACACAGGGTCGAACACGGATGATTATGCCACAATTTCTGTCTTAAGTCAAAATTACCTAAGACTACACATTATTATAGCACTGTATTGATCCCTCCAGTAACCTGCTAGGGGGGTTGGGGGTAAGGGGGAAAGACCTGAAAGGGAGAATTGGGAGGAGAGGGTAAGGGAGCGAGTCCTGGAAGGGGAAAGGGGGGGGTGGGGAAGGGGGTTATAGCAGTATATTAGCGGGTGAAGAGGTGAAGGAGGAGAGGAAAAGGAGGAGCAGAGGAATAACTAAAGAATGAGGAGAGGAGGATGAAAAAAAAGGACGAAGAACAAGTGTAAAATATACGATAATGAGAAGAGGAGGAGAAGAAGAGGTAGGACAGGAAGAAAGGATAAGAAAAGTGGAGAATGAAAAAACCGAAAAAAATTAAGAATCGGTAATAAGAAGAGAAGAGGAGGAGGAGGAGGAAGAAGACACATTACTTATCTCCACATGACACTTAAAGACACATAAAATATTACTGAAGCATGTACAACAAGGCTGTATCAGTAAAGAGTGTACCGGCCGACCCTGTCCAGCACCATCACCCCATCCCATCCGACCCCTCGTTCCACCTCGTCCAGCCCCACCTCACCCCACCCCACCCCTTTCGGCCCCCTCGCCCCACCCCAACCAGCCCCCTTGCCCCGCCCCACCCTACCCCGATCCCCCTGACGTGACCTCGGCAGCCCAACAGGTCAGTAATAATTGTTCAACGCTCTCGTGCTCAGGTGAACCCCAATTGACTTTATACATGGCACACTTGAGGCCCACAAAGCATAATTATTGGTAATCTGTTGGGCTAAATTTTTAGGACAAAAGTATAATTATTGATAATCTGTCCATCCGAATTTTGGGGAAGGGGAGGAGTGTTGAGCGTTATGTGTGTGTGTGTGTGTGTGTGTGTGTGTGTGAGAGAGAGAGAGAGAGAGAGAGAGAGAGAGAGAGAGAGAGAGAGACTACGTGTTGGTCACATTAACGGTATATAAAGAGCTTGTTATTGTTAGTACATCTGTTGTTTTTGTTATTCTCTATACGGTTAACTAGTGTTATAGGTGCTAGTGTACTCTTGAGCACTTCGTTACTGTTGCTGTACGATTGTTGTGTTACTATAGTGATTTGGAAACGTTGTAGCATGACCTGGGAACGTTGTAGCATGACCTGGGAACGTTGTAGCATGACCTGACCCAACACAAAAGACTCTTAATACTCACGTAACAACTGGTTCACCATTTCACTGGTGTTCCTCGCCTCTCATGCATACACCAGCTGTCTTTTCACCCACCAATAAGAATGTTTTCTGTCACAACCGCTGGTGTAGAGGGACGGACTTACACACACACACATATTTGACATATACACACACACACACACACATATATGATATGCATACACACACACACATATTGGACATATACACACACACACACACATATTTGACATACATACACACATACACACATATTTGACATACATACACACACATATTTGACATACACACACACACACACACACATATTGGACACACATACACACACGCACATAAAACGATTTTCATACCTAGGAGAGTATACAGGGAGAGTAGGTGAGTAGTAGTGGTGATGATGGTGGTAGTAGTGGTGATGATGGTGGTAGTAGTGGTGATGGTAGTAGTGGTGATGGTAGTAGTGGTGATGGTGGTAGTGGTGATGGTGGTAGTAGTGGTGGTGAGCAGGACAGAGAAAGACCTTCCCTCGTCCACTAACATAACCAAGTAAATACACTGCTAACTTTAGAATTAATGACTCGGTTAACTCATAAATCTATACCGCAGAGGTAATAGATCTACCAGCTTATAGTGGTGCCGTGTTGTAGGGCTTGCCGTTGCGTATCTTCCTCATTAAGTCACTTCTATCCAGAGCTGTGATTGGCTACAAGAGTCATTTCATGCAACTGGAGTCATTAGGAGTAGTGGTGATACAACTGGAGTCTTTATCATTACTGGTGTTAAAGCTAGAGTCTTATTGAGCCACCCACTGACCACACCTTCCCGGCAATAACATAAAAAATATATTTATCATAAACAAAAAAACATTCTCCAGCCAACACGGAAAGTAACTGCTTTATATTATGGCAGGTGAAGTTAATTACCAAAAGAAGGTCAAACTGAAGGTACTCACCCACCACCGTAGGCTCGAGATCAACGAAGACTGCCCTGGGGACGTGTTTCCCCGTCCTGGTCTCGCTGAAAAAGGTGTTGAAGGAGTCGTCACCGTAGCCAATGGTTTCGTCCAGGGGCATCATACCGTCGGGTTGGATCCCGTGTTCCAGGCAGTACAGCTCCCAGCATGCGTTGCCCATCTGTACCCCAGCCTGACCCACGTGGATACTGATGCATTCTCGCTGTGGTTAGGGAACAAAGATATGGTTGTTAGAGAGAGAGAGAGAGAGAGAGAGAGAGAGAGAGAGAGAGAGAGAGAGAGAGAGAGAGAGAGACATCACATCAACATCAGAACTCACACATCATCGTCAAGATACATCGATGGCTTTTGTGGCCTGCTGTATAACCTTGACCTTGCTCTACATGTAGCCCAAATCTGACACACATACACTCACACAAAAACAAAACAAAACAGTAAAACCAGGCAACAAAAACTCGAGAAATATGACACCCACATCAAGCCTAAACTAACACTCAAGAACTCAGATCTGACAGAAATAAACACCCGCCTTTATATCACCAATACTTTAGGGTTTTTTTATTTCAATAAATACATCACGCAAAGCACAAGTTTACTCTCCTGGGAACCAATAAGGTGAGAAAAATACTACCACGGACCCATTCACTAATACTAAGCCGCGCCGGTCCACTTCTAACTCACCTAAATGTCTCCACTTATTTTTTTCTTATATAGTATAGTCAAGGTCTTATAGGTCGTCCTAGAGAGAGAAATGAACCCTCACGGAGTAAGAGTTTCACTGTTGGATATACGAATATAGGGATTCTTAATACGGTATATTACGAAGATGAATGGACTGTACTGGCTTAGTTACACTGTCGCCAGCTTAAGATGCAATGGCGTTGGCTTAGATACACTGTCGTCAGTTTAGATACACTGTTATCAGTTTAGATACACTGTCGTCAGGCTAGAGGCAGCAACGTTAGGAGAGGAAGGAGCTGGGAACATTAATAAATAATGGCCGGGAACGTATCGACTCAATAACGCCAAACTATTGATCGATAAAGCCTGTTGAGTCACGCTGTTCTGGTGGCTCATGTGTGGTGGTATGACGAACAAGTGTGTGTGATGAACAATTGGTGCGATGATGAACAAGTGCGTGTGATGAACATGTGGTGCTATGATGAACTAGTGTGGTGATAATGAACGTGTGCTATATCATGATAAACACGCATTTGTGTGTGTGTGTGGTATTAAACATTTGAGACAGTCAGCCTGAACATACCATTACCAGGAATTGTATTATTTACTTGTCACGAATTAAATTAACAGTATACCTGAATGTTTATCTCCCAGGTGTTTAATTAGTGGTTTAGTAATTACTGATTCAATGACGTTAACTTGAAATTATATACTGTACTTACAAACGAGTTAATATATATTTTGTTTAATTTAATGAGTTATATAACACTGAAGGATGATTGGAAGACTATAAACTAGGAACAAAGATGTATTGTTATATCGCTCTTGTGTATTTTATTTTCTCTGAATAAAGTATTAGCCCTTTTCCGTCTACTACTACTTTACTACTCTCCGTCCACACCACAGCAGGGTATGTCATAGTGATAATTCAATAATGTGTAAAATAATGTACTGTGCAAGTAAAATAAAGACTGCTTTGATTGAGTGATTTAATGGTTAAAATCCCTGTTTCGGTTGTCTGGGAAAAATGTATACGCAGTCACAGATTCTTGCGGTGACCATGCGAATGCTTGTATTACAACAATATTGTCCTCACTTGTTGATGTGCGAGGTCTCCCACAAGTCACGAAAATGTTGCCACTGTAATGCAAGCATTTATACAATCTCCACAGAAATCTGTAAAGCACCGGAGACAAAACTCCTCTAGCGCCTCAACAGTTGGTGCCCACATGACCCACCAAGACTCGAGTTATCGGTGTTTACAGTAATCACATACCGACCATGGATTAGCTTAATAGGGGCCTGAGGCACAGATCAACTTGGGGCCCCCTACCCTCAAGGTGTACAGTACATACATATATATATATATATATATATATATATATATATATATATATATATATATATATATATATATATATATATATATATCAAGAACAAAATATACCAAAATTTATCAATGATTTCATCAATATTAAGCTTCAGCAAAATAACACATTCAATGTTCATAACAGACAGAAAATTGAGAAGTTGCTAGGACATCGTTGAACGAAGTTCATGTTTTATATGCTTCAACTTCGAGAATGTTTGGATTTGGGGGCCCCTTAGAGTCGGGGGGCCTGAGGCCAGTGCCTCATGGTTAATCCAGCCCTGATAGTGACGTCATATCCAATATTATTACCTGGTGAATTTAACTATCATGCGTGAGGAGCGTGTTACTGGGAGTGTTCACCGCGTGCTTCAGCCATTCCGATAGTGCTCGTGACGTGTACATTTGTTGTGATTGTTCACTTACTAAATCAACTTTCTTCCAATAAGTCGATATATACGTGATCACCATCCGAGCTTTGGGTATTGATTAACGGTATCGGAAGCCCATGTTACTACTGTTCTTCCCTGCACTTTCTCTGCCGACCTGACATCTTGAATGACGTGAACCTTTATCTTGTTTATCACACTTGCTACTTGGTGGGGGGTCCGACAAACTATACACAAACACTGGTCACCCGGCTTGTCTACACGCCAAATAATTGTACATAACGTGTTCTCTGGCAATTTCACCCGCTGCATCAATTAGTTCACAAGATGGCCAATGTTTCGAGAAAAAACACAGCTGACCAATTCATTATTTTTCTAAACAGAAGACGACCTGAATCTGACCCATCAGACTAGGCAGGGGGGGGAGGGCACACGAATCCAGGTAAAAAAGTCACAGGTAAAAAAGTCACAGAAAAAAAGTCACAGGAAAAAAGAAAAGTTAACTATCGAATTCTCACATTTTTAAGGTTAATATGTCAATCAGTTTCAGTAACCTAACCTAACCTAACCAAACCTTTATTACCGGCCACCATAAATTAATTGTGACTTTTTTTCCTGACTTTTTTTCCTAGCCAAAATTGTGACTTTTTTCTGTGACTTTTTTTCCTGTGACTTTATTACCGGCCACCGGGCACACACTGTACTGCTGTGGGAAGTCGACCTGAAGTTACGTGGTCGATAATACCATTAGGTGATGGTCATGTGGGCCACCTTAGGTGCTATAGAGGAGTTCAGATGACAGTTTGTAGAGTTTACGATTTTATGCCCAGATATCATGAATAATTTTTCCATGATTTTGGCTGTACTCAAGTTATGTCGGAAACTCGGGTTTAACATCGCTGGGGTTAGATGTGAGAAGGTTGTAGTCCAGTGTGACCTTACTGAACATGATAGATTTTCTTCGGGTACTTCTGCAACCAACACTGAACCCATGGGAGATGGCCCTCACTAGACCTCTTGAGAGACCAATTAGTCGTAATTAATGCAGCTTAATCACAGCAGACGTGTATGAAATACTCAGTGAAGGTAACGTACCTATGTCTCCGCCAAAATTTCCATGTCGAAGAGGAACCACAACTCTGGTACACTGTATAATAAGAATTAAAAACGTCGATTCTCGAGAAGAAATTATTTTAGATTAGCAGTTATATTATGCCACCACACAGAAACATTTCATACGGACAGACGGAAGATTAACCACCTCAGCTTATTTCACCTGAAGACTAATCAACCTAACGCGAACCTAACTAATCCCACCCCTTCCTCCAGGTACAGTTAAGATGTTTAATCTTTAGGTGACATAAGCAGATGAGGATAATCTTCAAGAAATTCAAAATATGTAATATGTGTCCTAAGTTCAAAGAATAAAATAAAAGGTTTTGAACATGTTATGCAGTTAGTCTATGAACGGTGATTGTATTGTGTACTGCATGTCGGCTAAGGTGGAGTACACAGCCTCCCAACCCCCATCGTACACTACTTCAACATTTACTACAGCTACCTTCCTAAATTTTAAATGGTTGTTGTCTAGACTCCCTAGAGAATGTACTTAAAGACGCCCTGAAATAGAGGAGTAACAAAAATCAGCAACTATGTAAAAGAACCTACATCCCCTGTTATGGGCAGAATCTTACAAAGCTTGTTTTGTGTTTTTTATGGTATCGCCAGGAAGGGACGAAGGAGGTACGAGTACTGTATCATAAAAACAATAATTATGTCGAGGGGGAGGAGGGGATTTTCAAGGCCCGGGGTAAAACTGAATTAAACTGTTAATTTATATTTTCGGGTACCTTGTACGATTATGTATTTATGCATATTATCTTTAAGCGTTTTTATATCCCACACACACACCAGTAACACAGACAAGATCAATAAAGCGAACATTATCTCCAGTATTTAAAATTTGCTAAACATCGATTATTATTATCGGTCTGACGGACTCCCTGACACAAATAAGTTGCAGGTTATCATTAGTTTCCATGAGCTCTGCACACACGAGCTCTGCACACACAAGCGCGCGCACACACACACACACACACACACATGCATATATACATATCTCTAATGGCAAGATAGCCGACTTATTAAGATTTTATCCACTTTTTTTTTGCACTTAGTACTATATCAGTTCTCATTTACAGAACCAAATACGCAATGTGCTTGAATACTTCTCACGGAAATATAAATAACAAAGTGTGAGGCCAGACATACTGCCTCACACGCCTGTACTCACGCATTTGTGAATAAGTTACCCTTTATGTATAGAACTAAACGAATAATGTAATTGAAATACTGTGTAACATTCAGTGCCATAATATCCTGACAACGGGGGTTAATTATTATGTCCCGTTGTAAACTACTCTGTAATCCTTTTGCGCTACCGCTCACAGGATGTGTGGGGTGCACAATAAAGTAGCCGCTGTAAGCGGCAAAATCAATATATATATATATATATATATATATATATATATATATATATATATATATATATATATATATATATATATATATATATATATACAGAACAAACACTATCTGACCACATTACAGTAACATTGTATAACAGATAAAGAAAAGTCCACCAAATCAAAATATTGTACGTTAAAAATCTATAACTATTTTCAATACTTAAAAGTAGCCAACATACATATGAAATAATACGGAATATTTAATAAATATCAAATTGCATGCTCCTAATGGACAGTTCAATACAAGGCCAGTGAATTACTAGTTATATTACAGGTACTGTACATGTATATACAAAGCAACCAACATCTCTTTACTCACCCCTCCGCTGACCATTTTGCTGACAGTGGTGTTTCTCTTCTAAACGCAAATAAACGACGAGGCTTATTTGTAAATTTAATGGAAATACAAAGCGCCGGTGAGAGGGCTGGAGCGCACTTGTCAATGGGTGAGCACTCCGCTGACTGGCGACTGACGTGTTGTGAAACTTGTGAGACTCACCTGCCTACCATATCTCTTCCTCCTCACCGCGCTCTCCACCAATCACACAGCACCGCCAACAACCTTCCACCAATCAATGACGACCAGAGAAATGTAGGTGGGGCTCATATGGCAAGAAGCTGCATATTTGCACCAGTTCCTTGTAAACATAAAGCATTCTTGATTTATAACTCGTTTCCCAAAATGTTTCCGGATGATTCCCGTTAATGAGCAAATATATGTTTTTACATCATTAGCCTGCATCTGTGTTACGGAGGTACAATAAATAGAACATGCAATGAGAAACTAAATTACCACTAATATTGTTGTACAAAAATAGTCCCCTCTCTCTCCTCGGTTACAACTAATAAGGTGTATATTTGTTCTAGATTCCGTGGATACTTGCCCCAGTTCTGGAATGAAGTAAGACACCTATTAACCATGCAACGCGACTAGTAATATTCTTACACGAAAATGAAGCAATATGGCAGTATGATCAACAGTTCCCCAGTGCCGACTTACAGCGCTACAGGTTGCAGGTTGGCGCTGTAATTCTTTAATGTAGCTTCCAGGAATTTCGCAAACTATTTTTCTTAGAAACTACGTCAACGAATTTCTAGTACGATGTTATGTGTGTGTTGTTTGCAATTTTTTTTAACAAATAATAGTTAAATTAATTTCCACGAATATTGAATAAATTATTCGTTCGAGCGTCTACACTCTACAGGAACTCAGTTACTACTGTATAGTATTCGGAAACGTAACGTTGATTCAAAGAATTTACTAGTTTTCAAGAAGAAAAGTAGAACGTTGTCTGGCTGAATAATGATTCCTTCTAGTCATATACAGATACCAGATTATGTACTGTACCCATAAAAGTGTATGTAGTAGGTAATCTTAAATATCTTGTAGTGGATACCTCCCCTACTAACGCTGTTTGTCGCTGAGTAGCCGACCCCGCGAATTCTCCCCAATGTATGCCTCGTGGTCTAGGTCAACCAGTGCCGCCTTACATGACGGAGGTCAACTATTAAGCCACGCCTACCTCCGCTATATAAGACCTGACCTCGTGGTGACCTACCTCTTTCTACCTACTGCCGCATCAAGTAACACCATCTCCTCTGCTCCTGCCTGGCGGCCCTCGCTCCCGCCGGCGAGCATGGCGACCCACAAGCTGGTCCTCCTCTGAGCATCCTCACCAACCAACTCTCTCTACATCACGCTTGTAACCACGCTGCCACTTCCCAGCACCAAGCTGCACTGTACATCCAATACAATATGTATACAGTGAACACATTGTGAGTTTCCTTTCTCCATCCCATCCTGAGTGTGAACCATCATCTCGTACCCCACAATCTCACACCGATGAAATAAAAACAAGAGGCCTGGCACTGATCTCTCACACTTGTGACACGCTGGTTTCTTACCCTTGAGACACTGGTCTCTCACACTTGTGACACACTGGTCTCTCACCCTTGTGAGGCACTGGTCTCTCACCCTTGAGACACTGGTCTCACACTTGTGAGACAGTGGTCTCTCACCCTTGTGAGGCACTGGTCTCTCACCCTTGAGACACTGGTCTCTCACACTTGTGACACACTGGTCTCTCACCCTTGTGAGGCACTGGTCTCTCACCCTTGAGACACTGGTCTCTCACACTTGTGACACACTGGTCTCTCACCCTTGAAACACTGGTCTCTCACACTTGTGAGACAGTGGTCTCACACTTGCGAGACACTGGTATCACCCTTGTGAGACAATGGTCTCTCACACTTGAGACTGGTTTCTCACATTTATGAGACATCAGTCTCTCACACTTGTGAGACACAGTCTCTCAGACTTGAGACACTGGTCTGACACAAAAGTATCCTCACTCACTCAATGTGGACCAGGAGACTCACAACAGGTTTAGTTATAAACGAGAAAAGCCGAAAGACAAGATTGTGTATGCTTCCTAACCTGGTTAATCCGGCCATGGCTATATCACATAGATATGATTAACTATTAACATGGGTACTTAATAGACTAATTGACATTGACTAAGTTTATTGACTAATAAACTTAGGGTAATTAAATAGAACTAACCAGTGAGCGAAATTGATTGAAAAAAATATGAAAACACCAGATTTCCACTGTTATAGTTTGTGGAAATATATTAAAAATTGGATATTTTAACAATAAACGTTACTTAACATTTGTGGGTATGAAAAACAGACCTAACAGAAATAACTTACTTTGATTTGGTGAAATTTGAGGCATTTTCTGGACATGAGATGATACGGCCGCATCGACACTATGCACCCCGGGCGGCGGAGTGATTTACTGTGTTGGCGGGTTCCACAATAAATGATTATCATAACAGAACTCACTGAAGAAAATAATGTAAGAAAATAAACAGTCTCTATGTAAAGGAACAATGCCGTGATATTTAAACAATTGAAGGGTTTCGTTGTCTTTACCCTCTAAATTCACAAATTATGTCCATGTAAGATCGGCAACAACCTTCACACGACATGCTGAAAAACAAACTGCGCTGGGAAAAGCCCCTCAGCAGATCGCAGACTCATTACCACCCACAAGATAAAATAGTGTGCGCCTAGGCGCCTAATTATCTATGAAGCGAAAAATTTTCACAATATATGATTGTCATATCAGAAATCACTGATGAAAATATTGTATGAAAATAAACAGTAATAAAAATAGCTCACTCACTGGTTAATCCTATATATTAACCAAACTTAGAATAAAATCTTACCTATATAATTATGATCACACAACTGGACTGAGCGAGTTACAGCTCCCAAAGTCGGATGACGACTGTGGGAGGAGTGGGGCCTACTGGCCCCTCTCTCCATGAATGGGACAGGGACAATCAGGGTTAGGATGTGAACCGATCATGTGTCTACTAAAATCCAAGCTCAGCCGCAAAAGCACGCCATATATAATATTATAGCAGGGTGTTTATACTTATCTTTGGAATAATATAAGAGGATTTTTCCTCCCTAAGTTCTTTGTGTCCTAAATGGGCAAAGGGCAAAGGGGCAAGGGTTCAAGCCCTCCTTGAGCCTTACCTGTGCATGTGCCTGGAGAGGAAATAGAGACAAACGCGACCTATCAGCACAGCTGACGGTAGGAAACTGATGGACAGCGGAACTCCAGCCACACTTTGGTACTTTCTGGAAACTTCCCTTACAAGATCATGCAGTGTGTTTCAGAGATGCCACGATGTCTGCTACCACTTCCACATATTATTTACCTAGCCTATGGAACCCTAGTTTAATGTGACATAAACATTACCAATTAGCATATGACAAGGGATGACGGGAATTTATGTCAATCGCCATAAAGAGGTTAATGATGCAATTTGCGTCACCAATGGAAATACTGTACTGTAGTACAGTAAGTCCAAGTTTAACATTGCCCCCAAGAACGTTGTTTCGTTATAACATTGCTACTCTTTAGATACCTATGATTTGGACAACGTCCCGCTGATTCGGGACTACTTTGTACAGGGCATCACCCTCTCTTACCCAGTCAGAGCAGGAGGTGGAGCCATCCTCCTCCTCTCCACTACCCACCACACACTCGCTCCATCTCCTCTCATCAGGGAGTACAATACAAAATGATTTAGTTTATTTACCTTTTTGGATGTATAATATATACTATTTTCTATAAAATTCCATTGAATTTATATATGTAACGTATTTTATGGGGCAAAGGGAGACTGGGGAACGGAACTCCGGAACTCCTGTATTTTATCTATTTCTTATGGGGAAAATTTATTCCGTTAACGTCGTAGTTTTCAAGAACAAAACCACAACGTTAAGCGAGGACTTACTGTACAGTACTCCCTCTTTATCGACGGGGGTTACGTTCTGTAAACGGCCGTCGATAAAGAAACCGTCGATACCGTGATGGTTGCGTAATTTTTCTAACTATTATTAGCATATGTTGAATAAATGTACCTTTAAGCATTAATGCGTTTCCTTTACACATAACCTTAAATAATAGTGTATAAATAATAATATAATAAGTGGACAAAAATACTAGCAAACTTACCATTTAATTTATTGAAGTGAACATCGGTCCTTACAGTAAACAATACAGTATATACAGTATATACAAGTGTGATGATTGAGGCTTATTAAAAGCCTGACCAGTCAGATGAGTATGATTAGTCAAGGTCTGCATCTTCTTGAGGGGTGTGGGCAGGTACTCCGTCTTATTGTTGTGAGGTGCCGGCAGCTTCTACGTCTTGTTGTTGTTGTGAGGTGTCGGCAGGTTCGGCGATGGCAGGCACTCGGCGACTGAAGAAGTTGGTGATGGTGGTCTGTGCTTTCTTGCTTCTCATTTCCCCCTGCAGTTCTATATATGGCAACATAACATTTTCAATAGCTCTCTTTGCTTTAAGGGACCTATCAAGGGAGGGATCAATGTCATAGAGACGAGCAGAGAGGGCCTTACTCATTCTTATCACTTCACCAAGATTATCTAAAGTTAAGTTCTTATTTTCATCATCACTCACTTCATCGTCTGTTTCATCCTGCAGCTCCACTAATTGTTCTAGTTCATCACTTGTAAATGGGTCCCCAACATTTCCCAATAACTCTTCTTGCACCTCTGCCGCTGTTAGGTCAGAGAACCCTTCACCTCCAACTTCATTTGCCATAGTTATTATGTTGCGTAACTGAGGCTCGGCTGTTGGGAACCCTGTGAATGTTGGGACAATTTCAGGCCACAATTTTTTCCAACATGATCGGACACAGTTCTGCGACAGTTCATTGTGGCTTTCAGCGATGAAGTTTATGCACTGTGCAATATCAAATTTCTTCCACATTTCTCTGGGTGTCACATCAGCATCCTTATCAAGGCACTCACGAATCATGCTGAAAGTCTTCTCTGCATATTTAGCCTTAAACACGACAATGACTCCCTGGTCCATTGGCTGGATGATGGAGGTGGTGTTTTTTGGCAGGAAAACCACCTCAATGTTGGGGTGGGCAGTCTTGAGTTCT